AGTTCTTGACATATCGAAGGGAAGCAGGGGGTTAGGGGCCTCCATTCATTAGGGACAAAATGAAAAACCCCAAGTCATGTCCCCAGTGGGACATGTCACCTCCTCCAGGCATACACCCTACCTGCCTGCAATACCACTCAACTAATCCATATCAGTGGATTCTGCCTCTTGTACTGTAATGATTTCACCTCTGAAAATTCTTGCATTGTCTTGCATATGAGATTTGGGGGGGAACTTCAGACCTAAATTATAACACTCAGTAATCTGATTTTTGCTTAAGAGGAACCACAGATATTTATTTCTTCTGTGACCCTTTCCAAATGAAAAACAAAGCAATACCCTGCCTTTTTTGAAAGTAACCTGAATCTCTCTGTGGTCATAACACTTCCCTGCCCTTGCCCACGCCAGCAGGAAACTTCTGTTTTCTCTGTTTAAAGCTAAATCAGAAAGAAGTTACCACGTTGATCTTCATCAAGGAAAACTGTGGAGGTCCTTTTGTTCTTCCTAATGCCAACTGAGAGTGTGCATTCCCTTCAAGTGTGCTTGCTTAGGATGCTTGAAACTGGATTTTGGTTTTAATTCTCAGAAATGTCTGCCTCTAGTCTACCAAGTGGCTCAGTCTATAATGATCCTTTGCCTTCTGTGAAGCAGCTTTTTGGCTATCTCCCTTGCTGTGCATCAATCTTCAAAGAGAACTGTTTTGTTCCTTTGTGTTTCTTGTGAGCAATAGAACACACCTTAAACAGCACCCAGGAAGTTGGAACCATAACTTCTGGACCATGACCACTGATGAATGAGTTCTTTGGACCACTCTGGGTGAACTTTCCTCCTTCCTCTATTACCCAGATCATCCACAGCCCCACCTAATCTTTCTCCTTTGAAAGATGTTTGATTTTGGAGGGAAATTATAAAGAAATGTTAATAACCTTTGTCCTTATGACATCATCATGTTTTTCTCTTTCCACTTCTAAATCTTCTCTGCCATTCTTTAGCCCTTCCTTTCATCTCCTATAAATCCCCACACTCTCTGCAAAATGACTGCCAATGTGTGTTCCAAGTCTTTGCTGGGACACATCACAGTGATAGTTTATTGGGGCTCTTGGGGAGTACAGGAAGACTTGTCGCACTCATACTGAAACATTATGCTCTAAGGAAAGCCACATCTGTCCAGGTGGGGTTACATCTGCAACAGCAAAAGGAGTTTTAGAGGATCTGTGTTCAGAGCAATTATCTCCTGGCAATTTGAATAGAAGGTTCATGCATAAGATTGTGACTCACTTCATAGTCAGTGGTCTTTCCTTTAAGGGTCTCTGAGCAGTTACCTTTGTGAGTCCATTTTTTAAGTGATTAAAGAATATGGGAAATTATACTCCTAAAACTGCCCTTTCTTTAGGTAGAATGCGATGAACATCATTACCCTAAGTATATGTATGTCTGCACATATGGTGTGACACTACATCATGTACAACCAGAGAAATGAAAAGTTGCACTGCATTAGTGTACAATGAATCAAAATGCATTCTGATGTCATATATACCTAATTAGAATAAATAAATGAATAAATAAATAAATAAAACCCTGCCCTTTCTTTTTAAAAAAGCAAATTGGGCTTAGACATCTTTTATTTTGAATGTCTACTTTACAGATGAGTTTCTCTAATCATGGTATGTGTTGAACCAAAATGAATCAAGCTCCAAGGCAGCCTTACAAGTGCTCATTCATTTTCTTTTCCCCTCATTCTTGGAATATTAGATGTTCGCTTATTCAAGTATCCTTTTTCCCTTCCAGAAATACATCATTGGTTTGTTCATTGACCATAGACAGATGAATTTATAGCCTAGATTTTCAGTGGCAAATTGAGTCTATTAATACTGCAATGCAGATTCTGTGTAGGACTTATAAAGATATGCTCAAGAAGCCAGTAGAGGTGATGTGCCCCTGTAATCCCAGTGACTCAGGAGACTGAGACAGGAGGATAGCAAATTCAAGGCCAGCCTGGGAAACTTAGTTAGTACCTGCCTCAAAATTTAAAAAATAAAATAAAAAGGACTGGGGATATAACTCAGTGGTAGAGTGCCCCTAGGTTCAGTCTCCAGTACTGGTAAGAAAATGTGTTCAAAATATAGGATATTTATATTTCTGGTAGCTTCCCCAAAGCTATTCCTTCTAGAAAAGGCCCAATTGGATTTGGTAATCTCAAGATTGCAAGGTATTTTTATCATGTATACCATAAGAAAAACATGTTTACATTTTCTTTTGTAATTCTGGAATGCTATCTAACAAAAAGTTAAGATTCTGGGCTGGAGCTGGAGCTCACTTTTAGAGCGCTTGCTCACAGGTGTGAGGCCTTGGGTTCGATCCTCAGCACCACATTAAAAAAAATTCATAAAAATATATTGTATTCATTTACAACTAAAAAAAATTAAAATTAAGATTCTGTGAATTGAAAGTAATAGACTCCCAACTGGAGCTCTCCTGAGTGAAATGAGGATTTTGCTGGAAAGGTCTTGGTTTATCTCACAGAACCCAACACAGATTAAAACAGCCAGTTCCCAAGAGGTTCAGGAGGGCAACCAGACCTTGAGAACTGCAGGAACCAAACACACAAATATCTTCAGGACTCTCTCTTTCCTTCCTGCTGAAGGCTGCATATTGGAAAAAAAAAAATTTTTTCCTGTACCATTCACTGCAGACAAACGTTCTCCTCATGTCTGAAAATACAGCTACTAAAACTTTCTGATTTATTTTATTTTATTGTTCCAACTACTGAAAAGAGGGTATGCTGAATTTATTTGGATCCAAAAGTAAAAGAACTAAAGAATAAACATCTATGTTGCTTTTTGCTCAGCTCTCCAGCCTTAAAGCAATAAACTTTTTGTTGAAGTAGGGGAACAATACTATCATCATTTGCTAATCTTGGAAAACTTGTTTTGGGGGAGACGGGAGGAAGTGGAAAGTGGTATAGAGAGGTTGTGGATGAACCTGGAAGGCTCAGGTGAAGATACAGTAAAAAGTTAGGTGATGCTGAACCGGGGAGATGCTAGGGTGAAAGCAGCGTGTGGGGCAGGTGGACATTCAAAACAAAGCTAGCAGGCTAGCTTACAGGACAGGCTCCTTAGTTGCATTTTGTTAATAAGGGAAACTGATGCTCCAAATTTATGTAGCTTCCCCCACAGAGTTGGTAGGGAACAAGGACTTCCTTCACAAGGACTTTGATCACAACAGTGACAAGTCTGTTTTAGTTCCTGTTCATCAAGTCTAGGAGAGTGGATAAGAGTCAAGAGGAAAGGCAAAATTGGGTAGCAGGGAAAGGACTTTTTTTCTATTTGCTTTTTTTTTTTTTTTTTTTTACAGTTACATTTTGGTTCAGTTTTGATGAAGACATCCACAGCAAGATTCTTAAGTTTTTTCTTTTTTCTTTTTCTTTTTGTTTTTTCCCTGTTCTTTATGCCGGACTTGGATGCCATGAAGTTATCAGCAAGCTTTCCCCAAACATAATACCTGTCAGCACAATTTTATGTTTGCTGTGCTGAGCAGAAATTTCTAATAATACATCTGAACCTACACAGAGATTTTACTTTTGCACTTTGAAACAATCATTGTTGGAGGGTTTCCCACCTATCGAGGACACTTAGAGCAAATCATCCTGCGTTTTGCTGGCTTCCAATTCTTAGTGGTTCTCAATGAACCCATTTGTTGTTTTATACACCTTTGTAACTTCAGTAATTGAACCCTCTCTCTTTTTAAATTTGTGAGATTTTGTTTTCCATAGCTCTCTTAGACTCGTTGCAAAGATTGTTTTCAGAAATTACATTATTTATCCTTACTTTTACACGTAATTTTATTCACTACACTTCCTGGGTTCATCTCAGCAGCAACACTGGAAATTTTAAAGTATGTGTGCAAGATGCAAACTACAATACAGTGAATAGATGAGCTGGAATTTAAACGCAGGCATATGTGTCCCTAAAGATCATGATTTCCACCTAGAGAAATAAGCATCACCTTTACTATCACTAGCCCAAGTAACTCTAACATTTTTAAGACCCAAATTTTTGAAACTCATAGATTCTTTTTTTAGTTTCTGTGGCATGCTTCATATGTGGGATTTTCACCTAATTGAGTCCCAATCTGTGATGATCTTTTTGTTGTTGTTGTTTACATTATTTGTAGTCATTTTATAATAAAGTAGCCCCATTAACCTTGTGAGCAACAGATCTCCTATGTAATATTCTAATATTAGGTAATTACCTTGATTCACCATTGTGAACATCATTGTGAATAGCAAGCAGCAGTTAGCATATATTTTCTTCATATTTTGAACCATATTCTTAAACAAAGCCATCAAAGTATGATTTCTGCTTCAAATTACATAATGTTTTAAAGAACTTTTCATTGTGTGATGCAAATATTTCTCAGAATAGCCATATTGTTTTGACCATAACTAGTAAAGGCCTTATTTTAAGGACAGCGCTGGCACATTTAAAAATGATACAATTTTCTTGCATGTTAAGTGAGCAGGCATCATCTTTTCAAATTTCATGTTGTGCTTATGTATTTTAAAATAGTTTCCTGGCCTTCTCCCAAGAGAGAAGCATATGGAGAGTAACCTCAATTATCTGTCCCTTTTTCTTTAAAAATGCAAAAACTTTAAAACATATGAAATTACGATCTGAATACGTTTTCTCTGTGATAAATAAAATACCACATCAGTTTAACTTTAAATTCAATAAGCATTCACCCCAGTGCTGGAATATTAACTCAAGTGCCTAATTTGGCTCTGAGACTTCCATTACCTGGCAGCCTCTGGTGGATACACCTGTTTTGGTTAAGCCGTTATATAATGTTCATCATTTGAAATCTGACTTAGGCATATGATTACAGTGGATAAATTCCCAGAATTAATTCATTTTGTTGGATATAAGACATTATTTATTCCTTCTTTATTTTAACTGACTTTTTAAATTTTGTTGTCTTTTTTTTGTGCTATCTCACATTAGGTGTTTGCCAAACTATTGTGAACATGGAGGAAGCTGCTCCCAGTCCTGGGCCAGTTTCTATTGTAACTGCAGTGACACAGGTTACACTGGTGCCACCTGCCATGACTGTGAGTAGATGCATGGGTTATGCCCAGTGGATGAACAAAGCTACAGAATTGCCAGTGTTAACCCATTGTGTTCCTTAGTTCAGAGGTAGAACCCCTATAAAATCTTAAATTGAGAAAAAAATATACCACTCAAGGTAACTTTGAAATAATCAGTGTTTTTAGAGGGCTGATCTCCYGAGAAAAGTAACAGATGAATAATTACAGCATATGAAATATGCACACATACACATATTATAAAGGATATATATGTAAGCTCTCGGTTATGAATTCCAACCTATTTTAATGCAACTGGGTCAATTTCATTAAATATTTTCACAGACTTGAAAACTTGGCACTTAATGGGTTAACTAGGTGCATTTATTGTTGGGGGACACATTGTATGCATTCATTAAGTGTAAGTTTTTTAGAGGACACCACAGGCCAAAACTGTGGTGGATGGGAGCACCCATGGATGAAAGTCATAACCTGTGGTGTTCATAGACTGCTAGTAAGACAGGAAATGGGATAGTGGCAATGGAGTCACATACATGTTGAGGTTGGGACAAGAAAACATGCTATGGGCACACAAGAGGTAGCTCTAAAGTTAATTACACTGTCTTCCAGGTTGTGCTATGTTGCCATAGTAGAAAATTAGAATCTTGCTGGTTTAAGTAATGAGTGGCCATGTCGTGACCATGACACATACCCATCATACATCAGTAGGAGGTCTTCTTCCACATTTTCCTCTTATCATGGAGGTTTAATCATCTGGAATGTTGCCAGGGCAGAGAGAAGGACACACAGGGGCGGAGACAGGAAAGCAGGGGCTAGTTTTTAAATGCCTTGACCTCTATGTGGCAAATATTACTTTCTCTTACATTCCATTGTCCAGATAGGGTCACAAGGGCACACACATAGGGGGTCACAAGGGCACACACAAGAGGGCATGAAGTGCCTTCCCACCATGGCTTGTGAGACAACAAACCTGAGCACTGGCGATAAGTACCTGTCAATCCTGGCTTGGAGGAGGCTTCATATAAAAGGCCTGGGTTGATCTTTTGTAGAGACCTGGCTGGACAATAGCAACCAATAAAAGGGATACTCAGAGCAAAGGAATAGATGGAGGCAGGAAACATAAGGAAGTCAGAGTCTGCAGGTAGTAACACAGGACGGGACGATGGTGGTGGAGAAGATGGCAGGACAGGAGGCAGGGAGAAGGTAGGCTGAATTGTGCGAACATAAGAAGCAAAGAAAAAGAAAGGAAGAATTGGAGCCCTGAGTCCCACAATTTAACATTCTCATTGGGATCATCAAACAAAAGACAACCAAACAAATGGTTGCCATCTAGAAAATTTTATTCCATGCTGACTGATGGACTTAAGTATTAAGTGAGAAAGACATATCTGAAGGTGCTGGCAGTGATTGTGGGAGATTTCATGGAATATATGAAATTGGAAATTGAAAGGACAGGTGGGAGAAGATATTATAGAAAGACATTGAAGCCAAGGAAGGCTTAGATGTATAATGAGGACCATAGGGAGATATCATTCTGGGGCAGATCTCACCAGTTTTTCCTGAGTTCCTGATGTTGTTGCCTGGCCCTGAAGGATCATGGAAGGGGTTGGAGATGTCCACTGGACTAAATTCACTCTAGTCAAGAAGGAGCAAAGTTGATGCTCTGATTTTTGTGTACTTCTCAGCCATCCCATTCTCTGTTATGCCACAGAATGTGGCATATACCAATGACTCCCATAGAAGAATCTAACTAAATCAGAAAAGAATTAGTGCAGTGGTCATCATGGAATGATGATGTTATTGCTATTAGTTGCCTGGGAAATTGAGAAATGTCATCTGGCTATATTATAATATATTTCATTTAAATCTTGCTATTTAAAAACTTGGAATGATGAAGAGAACAAGGGAATGAGAGAGAGATTGAAGTTAAATTTTACCCAGCCATTATACTTGACTAAGTACATAATTATATTATACTTGAATAAGTACACAATTTTATCTCTTTAGAGATCTTTTTTTTTCCTTTAAGATCCTATGAGGGAAAACTCATGAATTCTTGCAGACCTATCTAGGGAGAAAATCATATCTTTATCTAAGACTCCAATTAATATCAATCTATAAACTTTAAAAGTCTGTTTCCAGAAATATTATCCTCACATAGTCAAGAGCAACATGTACTTGTACAGAAACACTGCAGGACATGCACAGGACTGTTGAGTTTGTATGTCAGTGTGCTCTTGGAAGAAGCTCAAAGGAAATTGACATGTTCATCAGTCTAATAGTAAAACAAAAGAGCCCTGGAGAAGATTTAACCCAAAGCAAACTAAATCCTAGTCAAAGCACATTACAGCATTAAAGGTTTATCTGTTCATTTTCTCCAAAAGTAACGTAGTAATTTTTTTTTTTTTGAGGAGTTCATCTTCACAGATGCTGTTCTCCTTTAATTCGCTCTATCCATTAGGCTGAAAATAGAAGATTTCTAGTTTTTTTTTTTCTTTTAAGTGTGAAGTTGAAAATTGATGGAGGTGAGGTGCTGATTTTTAAAGGAATGCTGTCAAGTCTTGTGAGCAGGAGACTCGACATATAAAGTAGTAAAAATATCGTTCCTTAATTTTTTTAACACCTTCCCATTTCCCTTTTTGTGAAATTGTACAGTTCCTACACTGTAAACTGAAACTCTGTGAAACTCTATCTTCCATTCTGGGCATGTAGCCAGAACAAATCAGAGCTGCTTGGGTATCTGTGACGTTTGGCAAGCACACCTTGGATGGTGAGATGTAATTCAAGGATCTGTCCTTCTGCCTCTGACTAATCTCTCCCTCTGCTATTTGGGTGACCCCCCCTGTTTTGAGTACTTCTTGAACTGAGTGAACCAGTTCTTGCCTTCAATAAATATGTGCCTCACCCCGAGCCATGAGAATTCAAGAGTGGGAGCTGCCCAAATGCAGATGGTGGCACCCAGAAAGCCCTTGGGTCAAAACAAACAAACCGGCCCACAATCTTGCTCATGTCAAAATGGCAGGGTCATCCTTGGTGTGTTGAGACATGTTGTGTTGAAGAACTCATCATCAATCAGAACAATTACCTCAATTTTTTAGATTGATAAAATATTTCTAATAATATTAAAGTGCTAATTTTTGAGTATTATTTTGGGTTTTTTTGAGCTCTTCAGGATATGTTGTTCTCATTATTTGTGCTTTCCAGCAAAGGTGGGCCAATAGAGCAGACCTGGGATCGATGGGATTAACATCTCTAATTCTTGTGGATGAAAGAGAGATTTGGTTGAGGAAGGTAAAGGGTGACAATGAACTTCTAAGGAATGGCAACATGGGAATTTCCAGTCTTCAGACATTTCAGGTTGCTGCCGAAAGCACAGGGATCTTCAGTGTATCTTGATTTTCTTTTCCCCTTGCCTGATAACACATAAATAACTTGGGTATGCAAGTTATGTCACATATTAAATACACCTTTTTCAAAGCCACCTGTTTAGGAAGGAGATGACAAGTGTGTCCAATTCCTTTCCATTTGTGGCAGCCTCTCCATAGAGAAGGTATTCAAGTTCATCATGTATGCCACCATGTGCCATTGGACACTATTCTGTGATGTTTGAAAGTTGTTAGGGTGAGGAACTTTCTCCTTTAGGTTTTATTCTTTTTTTTCTAGAGGAATAACTAAAAGTAAACAATGTTTCTGATTCAGATGCAATTCTAACTGCCAGCCAACATTTATCAGTTGGTCTTTAGTTTTATATAATCTATGAGTTCAGAAGTTTGAATACTTGAAGCCAAACTTCTAACTCTTCAGGATACATCTTGATTAGGTATTTCATGTCCACCTTATTAGGAGTACAAATTAAGATTCAAAAGAACATTTTGTTTTTCATTGTAGAAGCTTAGCAGATAGGTAGATACCATTGCAATATAAGAATAAATTGAGCTGGATATTATTATTGCCTCCATTTTACACAGGAGAACATTGAGAACCAGAAAGGATACATAACTTTCTCAAGGTCACATGTCTCAGAGAAGGGACATGAAGTAAAGGAATCTGGCATTATATGCCACATACTTAAGCCCTATATCTTATTCCTTCTCTCAAACAAGTAGGACATGTGCAAAGTTCCATATACGAACTTAATGTTATTCATCATATGCATGAGACACAGTAGGGTATTGTGATGTCCTCATTAAAATGCAGTCCTAGGGGTCCAAGAGATGAAATTTTTTTGTGTGTTCTAAAATAATCATGAAAGCATTATAGAAGGAAGTGGAATGAGATAGAATTTGAAGGATAGCTGTATTTGAAATAGATGTAGGTAAAAGGAAGAGTATCAAAAGCAAGGAGACTGGCAAGAGTAAAGGCATGAGGGCCAGAACATACATGCTATGATTCAGAACAATGTAGGTGCACTTGCCTGGATCAAGATAGGAAAAATGAGCAGTTCTGTTCATTTGTTGCTGAAGCCCTAATGGGATTCTCACAAAGCACTTTCCCTAAGGGAGTAGAGATCACTTCCCATTATTATCAAGACTTTTCTCACACTATTGCAACATTCATAAATGCCACTTTGATACTACATATAAATAATCTAATGATAGATTTCTTTTTTTATATTCTTATAAAATATAAAAATACACTTTTATATTTTGTAACATTTTTATATATTTTGTGTTGTTTCCAAATGTTCAATGTTATAACCAACACAATGGTGAGCATCACAGTGCTTAAGTGTGAACCCCACAAGTTCTAGTGTTTATATAAACTAGTCTAAGAAGCGGCATTCTTGGGTCAAAGGTTATGAGTAATTTGAAGGGTCTTCATTCATATTGCCAACTTTTCTAAAGTCTTAATATAGTTTATACTCTGATGACTATTTTCCGAGATCTTCTGTCACCATCACTGTCAGAATTATTTACTCATTTATTCAACATGTCTTTTTACTAAACAATTCCATATTAAATGGATATTATCTTCATTACCAGTCCCTAATAAGAAAAAGACTTTGC